ACGCTCTTTGATGGTATGTTCTCCTCTTCATGACTTGGCTCATCCATATCAACATTACCTGCAAAAAGAGTATATTCATTTACTGTCAAGATTGTAATGGAGTAACAACAGAACACACAAGAAGCATTTCACTTTTTTCATATCAATTTCTCAAAACTTATGCAGGCAATCAAATTCCAAGATTAAGCAGCATTAAGATATTAAAAAGATTCAAGGGAAAAGGCTGATCTGTTTGACATTACCTTGATCATCAGAAGGAACATCATTTTCCTCCTGCTTTTCGTATAACTTGTTTGGATCAACTCCGCTTGCGACCCTTTCTCTCAATTCGTTTATACAAATCTATAAGGATAACACATTAGTCTATATCAATGCACCAAGTGTTAATGCAAATGCAACATACCCATTGAGTGAACATATATACTTTGTAGTTACTGGAAGTATGTTAAGAAAGTAAAGACTAAGTTATGAGTACAATGATCATATACCAAAACAGCTTAACATTCTCAGATTATAAATGTAAAGCAACACATGACTGATCACCAAAGTATGAGACAGAGCAATGTAATTCTGATTTCAGTAATCTTAACTACTACTGCTTGATACAACCATCAGAATAGTTCCAGCCTTCAAATCCAGATTCATAGATTTTGAATTTCCATAAGGAAAATTCAAGGTGCATGAAGAACACTTTACAAATTCTGAATGTACCTTTACACGCTTAGTGGTAGCGACTTGTTGCACTTTATGCACAAACTGATCAAACGAAAAGTAAGGTAACAAATGAGAGTGCCACTCACTGTAAAGCCGTATCAAATTCCCCAAATCGCTGACCTATAAAAAGAACAAACACAAATCATCAACAAACATTTCCCGATCTGATATGACCACACTACGCATGTAAAATCGCTATCAAAATCCACAGATGAAGCAAATTTGATTCCGAATCCGATGAAAGAGAGAGAGAGAGAATACGGGAAAACGACTTGCCTCTTTCCCTCGACCTCGATACTTGAAGGATTTAGGAAAATAGCGAAGAACATAGCCGAGACCATCCTCAGAAAGAAGCAAATCAGGAGTTAGCTTCGGTCTCTGGACTCTCGTCTTCGTCGCTTTAGGAACAGGCCCTATGGATTTTCCGGTTGCAGGATTTCCACTTTTGGCGGAAGATCTCTGAAATTCATTATTAGGGGTTTGAGATGGAGCGGAAGAAGAAGAAGGAGCGGAATTTCCGGCGACCGGAGCCGACGATGGACAATCGCGAGACCAATGACCGGGACGGCCACATTTGAAGCATCCCGTCGGAGCTGATTCCATCTTCCACCTTTCGATCTCAATGGCT